GCAGCTGATGTTCGTGATGCTTGGCTCTTCTGCTGTTCGACCCTAGCAGATTTCAGCCGATGTTCATGATTTGGCCCAAACAGATTTCCAGCTGCTGCCCGTGATGCTTGGCCCGTTCTGCTGGTTGGCCGAGTCGGTTTCAGCAAATGCTCATGCTGCTGAGTTCTCCTCGGCCAAAATCGCTTCCAACCTATGCTCACAATGGTGCCAGCTCATCAGCCAAAAGCTGATAATGATGTTAGGCCCCTTTTGCTGTTGGCCGATTCGCTTTCCAATTGAAGTTCATGATGTTGACCGTGCAGCAGCGCCTTTCCGGCTGATGTTTACGATGCTGGGCGGTTTTGCTGACCGGCCGCCATGGTTTCCGTCCTGGTGCTGGTTTGCTAAAATGGTTTCCAACTGATGCTCATGATGCCTGTCGCTTCTGCTGGCTGACCAAGACGGATGGCAGCTGATGCTCATGATGCTTGGCCCTTCTGCTGGTTGCCAAAGCGGTTTCCAGCTGATGTTCATGATGCGGGTGCTGCCAGACCAATGTTGCTTCTTGCTCCCATGGGCGGGGCATGTGTTTTTCTGCCAGTAGGCGGCTCATGAAACGGGTTCATAGGATAGCTTCTCACTGCCAACAGCTGGGACGGATGCTGAGGACCATGTGCTTTCGGCCAGACCGCTTGTTCTCCAAGAGCTGGTGCGGCACTGGCCCCTTTTTGAGCCCAGAAGCGCTTCTGGGAGACGTCGCCCCAGCTGCTGACATGTGGGCCACTGTTTTGCACAGAGGCTTCTGAGTACCAATGCAGCTAACTGACACGCGCTGATGACACCAAACTCAGGCTATTGGCGTCATGGCCTTTGCGCTCCTATCTGGCGACCTTCCATTTCAGGCTTCCCGTGGGTACTTCTCAAAGTACGAGTCTCCCTTTGTGTATCAGCCAGAGTGCAAATGCAAAGGGCCTACAATCCAGATCCAGATTTGCGAGGATCTGGAAAAACGAGGTTGCATTTGAGCATTACCCAGCCGAGTTAGAGAAACCCTGAAATCTTGGGGGCCTTGCAGAGTAGAGCCCCCCCAAGATGTCAGCAGACAAAATCAGAGTCACGCATTCCCTTAAACCTCTAACTTCAGGGAAGGGAAGGGATCCCCGACTTCGGTCCAGGCGTCCTCGCTGTCTGAGCTGCCTGAGGCACATCAGCACCTTGCCTCACCCATGGGTAACAAGAACCCTTAACCCCTAACCCTATATACACCCTAAACCCAAAACCCCAAACCCCATATAACCCTTGTATCCCAATATGCTACGGTAGTTTCCATTTCTTTTTGTATCCCCCCAATACTGTTTGAGGTTTAGAGTTTAGGGTTTAGGGCAACTCACTGGTTGTGAGGACGGAATACGGGAACCCCTATATAAATGATTCCAATGTTCCCTACTAATCCCCAGTAAGTCCAAAGCATTGAGGTATACGATTAAGGATTTATGTGTCTAGGATCTAGGGTTCAGGTGTGTGGATTTAGGACTCTGGCCATATTGTTCTGGCGTATATAAAGCCGGGACTATTTCCGAAAGGCGGCCTTTGCAGATGGGATTGTAGACGGGCTCTGCGTTAGTGAAAAAGGGCTCCTTGGCAACCTGGAACATCAAGATGAGATAAGACGAGGACCCAGTAGCGTGTGTTGGGGTAATGGTCAGCGAGTCATCCGCAGTAAAAAGGGAAATTATCTTTGGGTCCCTGCTGGGTCCTCATAGCACAGATGCCTGCATTTCGCGGACTTTAGGGGGCCTCTTTTGGAGATTTCCTACCTTCAAATAGATCTATAGCAGTCCCTATATAACGAATTACAGTAGTTTCAATTTTCTTTTCCATTGATTCTAAACCCTAAGCCCCACAGTAATTTCCATGTTCTTTTTCATTCCTTCTAAACCCTAAACCCCATAGTAGTTTCCATTTTGTCTTCCATTCCTTCTAAACCTTAAACCCCATAGTAATTTCCATTTTCTTTTCCACTCCTTCTAAACCCAAACCCCATAGTAGTTTTTATTTTTTCCATTCCTTCTAAACATTCTAAACCCTAAAGCCCATAGTAGTTTTCATGTTCTTTCCCTTTCCTTCTAAACCCTAAACCCCATAATAGTTTCCATGTTCTTTTCCATTCTTTCCATTCCTTCATTTCCAGCAAATCAAAGTCCTACCTTGAGAGAGTCTCTGTTGCCCAGGCGATCATTGAAGGACGAGGCAGTTTTCAAGCAGATCTCTAAACCCGCTACGCAGCTGGTGCTCCAGCCGCACACAAGGAATTTTGATGAATTTTGGACTTTTTTTTTGAAATCGCGGCAACAAAATTCTGAAGACGGAGCCCTGCTATTGTGAGCCTGCGATATATCCTATGAGCCACGTATCCTCACCGATCACGGCGTGCGCGGCCTGAGAAACTCAATTGTTTGTCGACTTTGTTCCCGCTGGGTAGTAAGCAGGACTCAGAACAAGGAGCCAACAAGTGAGGGCACAAAAGGCATGTTCAATCAGTCGGAAATGTCTGCCGTTTTTCCATAAAGATTGGCTGCAGGTAAGGGCAGGAAAACCATAGGCTCTTGTGGTAGATGCATCTGAGGTACTCCAACTGCTCGACCTGGAGCAGGCTTTGGGTCTGTATGGTAGTTTCCCAGAATAGGGGGGGTTCCAAAATGTCATACTCCTTTATGGGACCCCTAAAACGGTACCCCTAATTTTGAAAACCACTTCTGGTTGCAGAGACCAGAGGCCAACAGGAGCTTCACAAGTTCTTTGTGCTAGGAGAAGCGGCTGACCGTCGACCAAGCTTTAGAGCTTCTTGGCATTAGAGCCGAAATGCTTACTGGGGTCTAGAAGGGAATAAGGGAATGTGGAGGTCATATATGGGTAATGGACATGGAAACTACTACATTCTAATAGGGTATATATTGGGATTTGTAGGGAAGCAGGGAATAGATTCTATAGGGATAATATAGGGATATACTTTATTCCCTACTAACCCCCCAAAAAGATGATGTGAGGGGTTGTTCTCAAAACTATGGCCCATATTGTTTCTAGATAATATTGCAGCACCTACTCTTGAGGGGCACAAGATGGGACCCCAATGTCGGGAACTACCCACATGATGATGAACAACTCCACACGAAGAAGCGCACTTTAGTGAAAAAAGAAGTGCCTTAAACCCTGAACCCTTAACCGCCAAGGTTACTGGAAGCAGAGAACGGCTGCTTGGCGGAAGCGAAGACTAGGCAAGAGCCGCTACCGTTGGCTCGCTGCCAGCGTGTACGCAGCGAGTGCTGGAGCAGCGCCTGGGCTGCGAGAGTACATGAGCTATAGTCTAAATTCCTTAAAGGGGGTTATATAAGGGATTATGCAGGGGGCTACGATAGGGGTTATTAAGGTCACAGCTCACATGAGACCTTAACGAGCTTGTCATGTCCCAGATTGTCATCGTGTTTTTCCCGGGGGTGACTGGGTAACTGTAGCATTGGAGGTGCATCCGAGGACTGTAGACTTCAGAATCCTCGGAACTACCTTCCCCAACCCAGAACGCCCCAAAAGGATCCAAAAAATGGAACCTCTCTAATAATTCCCTAGTTTCCCCAATGTAGTAATGGGTTCATACGGGGGGGGACACTATTTTTTGATCCTTTAAGGGATCTGGGAAAATGCTCTCATCCACTTCTTGCAACACGTCTTCACGTTTTGTTGAACAATGCATGCTGAAGTCAGGTTTCTGTCCGGACCACAAGCCGCCAGAGGCATGTGCGTGCTCGCCCATGTGCTGCTTGTGTGCTACACATAGTCATGCAGCTGCTACAAGCGATGCAAGACAATCAGAACAAGTATTGTTTTTCTAGTGCATGCCTGTCCCCCTGCGTTTCATACATTTGGAGACTTCTGCATATGGTCTTCCTAAGCAAGTGCACGCCGCAAATCAACACGGCACTCTGGGCACGAAGGCGATCCTCCTGCCTTCTCTGGCTGCCTCTGACATGTGTTGCTGAAGCAGGAGTCATAGGTGGGCAATGTGATGAAAGGTGGCACCCCTGGCCCCTTGCCTCCAAATGGGTGAACAAGCCATAACAAACGCGCGTGGGCTCATCTGCTCCAGCTTGGCCAGAGCAACAAACATTCGGCTTTGTATTCACGCCGCTCCAGCCCAATGGTTCCGTGCAATTAAAACCCCAATATAACCCTTGTAGAATCTCAGTTTCCATTTCGAGACCGGCAAGATTGGGCCCTGAGCGTGGCCCCAGCCCACCCTCCCCACCGAAAGGGACGTGCTCCCTTTGCTGGTGGCAGTTGCGCTCCTGCTTTACAGATTTCTGCAGTCCTCCAACTGGCCTGCCTTGCTCCAGGGCAGTGGCGGAAGGAGACTTTGGACTTTTGAGCTGCAAAATGTCTGGGTGACGGTCATCTTTCTGCCTTCTCAATGCCATTCAATCCTTGGGCCCAATGTGCTGGAAGCATTTGTCTTACAGGCACCTTTCAGTACTTTAGCATGGAACATTTTGGTTGTAAGTTTCCTCAGCTGGCTTGCCACATAAAGGAGGTGAGCGGTGTGAGATGTTCTGTGCATGTTCGTGCTTTTCTTTCGTGTTTCCGATGTGACTGAACATCCATTCACTGTTGTTGCTACTGTATGTGGCGCAGGTTAAGACTCTGTACCTGGTGCGTCACGGTGAAGCTGCTTCATGGCGGCATTAGCAGCCAGCTGACCATATTTGCACAAGCGAGCGGACCACTCTGCAGCGGTAGGAGTGGCAGCAGCAGTAGGAGCAACAGCAGGAGCAGCAACAACGGTGGCAGGACTAGTCCTTAGTCGTAGTGGCAGTGGTATAGATCACACTAGCCACTAGTGTTCCGTAACATGCCTACCTAGGCTCAAAGCCTTTTGGTAGTTTCCCCCAAAAGGGGGGGCCGCAAATGGAATCCAAAATAATTCGAGCACTAGTTCAATAACAGGGACCACATTTGAAGAATGCTTTGGTAGAATGAGGCTCCAAAGACTACTTTCAACTGGGTGGCATTTCGTACGGGAAAAGCTTTGGGGAACCCATCCTGATAATAGAGATTCAATTCATTCCTATTCAGTTTTTAATTGACAGAGGTCCAACAGCCCCAATGACCCAGGAATTGTTTTGTTTTGGGCCTTTAATAGAGATTCAATACATTCCTGTTCACCTTTTAGTTAGAGGTCCAGGAGCCCCGGTGACCGAAGAATGACTTTCCTTTAATCTTTCGCTCCTCATTCCTTGTTCTGGAGGCAGGTCCCCCGAAATTTAACAAGTGCTCGGATTGCTATAATCCTTGTTATATTATAGGAACCCCGCCAAAAAGTACCCATGATATTGGGAAGCCCTAAACCCTAAAGCCTACATATCCCCTACATAACCCCTAGATTTTGGGAAGCCCCAACCCCTAAACCCTATATCCCCTACATAACCCTCTAGATATTGGGAACACCACCCGATAAAATCTTGTCTAACTCCAGTTTCCATTTAAATTTCCATTTTCTTTTCCATTTAATGTTCCATTATTGGGGGTAATGTCCCTATGTAACCACACTAGTTTACATTTCATGTTCCATTTCCTTTTCCATTTTCTTTTTCATGTAATTTCCATTATTGGGGGTATTGGGGCCCTGCAGGTGCACAACATCAAAGAAAGACAGGCGCAGCAGACGGCAAAGCAGCAAGCCATGTCTGATGGGCTCACGCCCAGCTCTGGTGAGTTTCAGGCTGGGGGGTTTAGGGCTTAGGGTTCAGGGGTTTAGGGGTTTAGGGGTTTAGGGGTTTAGGGTTTGGGGTTTAGGGTTTAGGGTTTAGGGCTTAAGGTTTAGGGCTTGGTTGGGTTTAGGGTTTGGGGTTTGCTGCAGAATCGTACGGGTAGCAGCGATGCGTAGGATCATGCATACATGCGTCTTTTTATTTATGCGCAATGCTGCTATGGCCTGACTGTTGCTGGCCATTTAACTCATTCACCCACGCCACGCCGTCTCAGGCGGCCAAGCCACGCAAACCCGCTCCTTTTAGGGTTTAGGAGCCAAACTCAGTCAGTCTTGGTCACCAACACAAATCTATCTTAATTTTCTTTATGCTGTTGTTGTTGAAGGGATCCTGAAGGTTCATAGACAATTTTAAGCAGGGCCTAGCTATGGCTTTTGAAGGTTCTGAAGTGGTTTTCACGATTGTTTTTGAAAGGCTTTTGGAGGCGCTGGAGAGGCCCCTGGGAGGCCCCTTGGGAAACCTAGACCTCCTGAGGCCATTAGGAGCTTTTAGGCCCATGGAATCTGCGGCACTTTGCTGGGAGATCCTCAATCTTTGGATGCGCGTGAGAGAAACCCTGAGAAGGGTTGTGGGAGGCTGGGGTTAAGGGCGGGTAATAACCTTCCAAGGCAACCAGCACTGGTTGCAAGGCGAACAGATTCCTGTTTTGGGCCTTTCCTGGGTGTGGTTGTGCTGAGGCTGGACCAGTTAGGTTGACCGGTCGCCTTTGCTGGCGAAGGGCGTAAGCGCCGCGCACCATCGTAGGTTCCTATGCCTTGAGTTTTGGGCGAGTTTCTCCAAGTAATCCCTATACAATCCCTAGTAATCCTCCCTAAGGAACCCCCGCAATGCCCTATATCCTTGGGGTCCTAAGTGTAATAGTGTTCCATTTGACACCACGAGAATCTACTGCCCTAACGCTGCTTTCAAAGAGCACATGGCGTACATCTCCTTGAGTGACCTAGTGGCTTGTGTATTTACTGGATGGACCCACAAGTGCACCATTGCAGGCGCGAGTGGAAACGGCCAGGCGCAGAGGGCACGGTCAGTGAAAACGCGCCAAGTAAATTGCCGTTGCCTGCAAACAATGACAACTCAGGGTTATGTAGAGCTTCTCTAGAACTTTGTAGGGCTTCATCAGGAAAAGCTAGGGGTTGGAAGCCTCCTTCGCATTTTCCAATGAGCTCTGATTCTGTTGCGCTCCGGTAGATGTATACGGATACACGTATACATAGTTATGTATACATCTACGTGTATATATGCTTGTGTATAGGTGCGTGCACGCACGCGAATGTAGGGATGTCTCTTTGTGCGTGCATGGTAGGATTTTCGAGCTCGCCTCGGCAGGAAGCAGGTGCTGCAAGATGAGACTCTGCACGATGCTGCGCTCTCACCTTCCGGAAAGATGCAGGCACTGGACGCCTTGGCTGAAATCAAGCGGCTTACAATGCAGCTGGCTCTGAACATATGCTTGCTTTGCTGAGGTGTTCTCCCGAAAAGTTGGAGTCTTTTCGTGCGAGCTGCTAGAAATGTGATCCCATACATTTTTCTTGATGTACGAAGGCAAGGCTATCCGCAGCCTACTGCCATCTACGTCTCTCCGCTGCAAAGAACACTGCAAACAGCGGCAATCCTCTTTCCAGAACATCCTGGCATTCACGAGTCTCGCTCGCATCTTTGCGTGGAGAGCTGTGGTGTTGCGCCAGTGGCGTAGCTTCAGCAGACAAGAGTGACGCTTGGCATGCCATGAGGTCCGTGAAGAGCTTCGTGAGCGTCGCACGGGTTTGCCTTGCGACGAGCGGCAGTGCGCAGACCAAGTCGCGATGCGAAATACCTTCAACTTCATGTCTTTCGAGTCTTGCCGTAGATAAAGATGCATTTTCTTTCTGAACTGGACAGGGCTTGCTAGCATGACCCCAACTTGACCGCAGTGGCAAGGATGAGTTGCGCAGTCATGACCGGCACAACTCACGAAATGCAGAGGATGGAGAGGAGGACATGACTTCAATTGAAACTGTGTTGGAAGGGTAAAGCTGGGCAATTTAAAGCGACCTCACCCGACCTCACCCTAAACAGATGGTGGTCTATATAGGGAAATTACCAAAATGGCCTTAAATTGGGAATTGAAATTAGTCTAAACTACCCTGGTAAAGGTTTGAATGGGTCCTGCGTAAAGGCCTTGAAGACCTTACGCAGGCCATACTATAGTCTATTAAGTATATTATGGGTATTTTATGTTATATTATAGTATATTCTGGTATATTATGGTCTATTATAGTATATGATGGCATTGTAGGCCTTTGAAGGCAACTTGCAGAGAGCACCTTGGATGTTATGAAGCTTGGGATTGTGAAGGACAAGAACGAGCTGCGCAGCCGTACCGGTCTCATGGAAACCTTCCTGAGAGAACAGGCTGGGAATTTCTAAAGGTTCTGGTCTCCCCCCAAGCTTCAAAAACGCCAGAATCCTCCAGTAATTGTACGACCTTTCAAGGGACAGGTATGATTGCAAAGGAAGCCTGCTTGTGTGAGTTTATTCAAAGTTTGAGATTTTGGGCATGCCTGCGCAACCCCCATGTTGGGTGGTGGTGGAAATCATGTCCCTATGCTTGGAACCGCAAATGGTACAGAATACCAGTCTTAGGATGGCTCAATAGGTTTTGAGGTTCCTACAAAGAGAGAAAGTTTTGAATAGCCCCGATCCTACCCCACCCCTAAACCCTCAACCTCTGGGTAGGCCCCTGGGATATTTAATATTTTCCCTAATGGCTTTAATAGGGGACCATATATACTAATATTTTTCAATGGATTTTAGGGGCCAACCTAGACCTTAAACCCTTAAGCACCCTGTTTAGGCAGACACCTGCTTGGCCGTGGTCACCCATAAGGGCTACCTGCACCTTGACACTTAGGGTTTAGGGTTTAGGGTTTAGGGTGGGGTTAGTAGGGAAAAAAGAATGTATGGGGTTTAGGGTCTAATTTATAAGGGATAATGGAAAAGAGCATGTCAACGGAAACTACTGCATTGTAATAGGGTATATGTTGGGGTTAGAGTAGGGAATAGGAGAATACATTTTATAGGGATAATATAGGGTTTATATTCCTTTATCATGCCCTACTTGCCATTAGGAAGGTATGGCTTAGGTGCTGCCCCCACCCTGTAGCAGTTAGAGAATAATTCCATTAGAGGAAAGCCCCTAAGGTTAGCCTGATACTGTGTGGAGGCAACCCCCAAAGTATGACTGCAACCCAAATCGCAAGGGGTGTCCCCCTAAGATCTTTCAGAGAATCAACTCCCCAAATCTCAAATCGCAAGGGGTGTCCCCCTAAGATTTTTCAGAGAGTCATATCCCCAGTTTCGGCTCGTCTCCTGCTCCTCTTTATTTCAGCGGGCGACGGCATCCTAATATCATTTCATTCAGATTCAGGTTAAACTACACGTGTGGGGTTCTCCGGTCCTTTAATCAAGGGGGACAGTAGGAGTTTAGATTGTAGCTCAAATCACACCTCAATGGATCAATAAAATCCCATGACATTTTCCCTAGACAATTGGAGTAGAACATGCCCAAAATCCCTGTTCGAATAGTTGCGCGAGGTAGCGGGAATACCCTGTAGTTTCTTATAGAAGGTACTACATAGTATAGATGACATTCGTGTTTTGTAACATGCCTAGCTAGTCAAGCCCGTACATCAACCCTGTGTAACTGTGCTCGGCTTCTGCACGGGGAGGTCTTCCACTCTGGCCGGCAGCAGCCCCTAAACCCTAAACCACTTGGTCTAGGGAGGCAAAGCGAGAGGGGAGTGAAGGAATGAACACCGGTAGCAGTCTCCATATGTACTATAGTCTAAACTCCCTGAAGGGGGGTCATATGCGGGACTATTTTTGGTGCTGGTTGAGGGGGATACTAGGAGTTTAGATTATAGCTCATATGGGGGGTTTCCCGAAGATAAGGGTACCTGTTGGGAAAGTATTAGTAACTCTAGTGGGAATCCGTGCGGTCTATTCATGTATTCTTCTATGCTTCCCAGCGCACCAGGTAGCTGAGAGACAGTTGAAGGGGTTCAGACCGTGCAAAACATGGGTGGTTGTCAAAACTATGGTCCCTTTTGGGATCCCTATTATAATACGGCACCTAATATTTAGGGTACCCAAAAAGGGACCATAATTTTGACAACCACCCACGTGGAAACAATCAAAAAGAGCCGAGCCAGCTGGAATGCCTTGTTCTTGCAGTCATTATTTGGGGGTTTCCCAACATTAGGGGGCCATGCTCGACATGAGGATGCTGCGCAGTAACAGCGACCATGTGGGGATTTCCACTATCAGGGGATCCTTTGTTGGGAGGCCCGTGATGCAAAGGAATCCTATTGCGGTCCCTGGGCCCTAACCCCACACCCCCAAACCCTAGTTCTGATTATGCTGTTGTCTACATTCTGTGGGGTGCCTGTTCCATAGTAATCCGTTTCGGTTTTCGACACGTTTATGCATGAGTTGAGCCAACTTCCTTTCGGATCCAGTTTATCCTGCATGCGTCACAGCTAAGCGGAAGGGAAAAAACCGGAGTTCACCCTAGTTCAGAGATACCTTAGGTGGACCCCCCACCCAGTAATAGTAACTATTATGGATAATAAGGATTAGATTAGGGTCCTCTTATATTCCTATTATACCACTATTACAGGGTCGGGGGGTCCTCCTAAGAGATACCCTAAACCTCCCTAAACCCTAAACCCTAAACCTCCGCTTCGATTAGCGTCCCAGGCGGGAGCTGGAGCGGGGTCGCCTCGGGGTCCCTGAAGCTCGGGAGTTCCTAGGCTCTTGTAGAACAAAATTGTACAGTTTTATGAATACCTGGGCCCAATATCATGTTGGGGTTATATAGGGCTAATGGAAAAGAAAATGGAAACTTCTATAGTAGATTGGGGTCATATTTTTTAATGGCATTTCAACAAGAACCCAGGTTCGACAATTGCGAGGTTCGCGTGTACCAGGCTGGGCAAGGGCATGCATGGCCTCGGGAAGTGACGTATAAGTTCTTAAGTTGGCTTGAGTAGGGCTTGTTGGTGGCTCCATTTAGGGTTTAGGGTTTAGGGTCGTTTGAAAATTGCCGCATGAGCCAGTCTGCTTGATTTGTTGATTTGCGAACTTGATTTTGAGAGTTGGCAGGTTACACTTCCCGCTGAAGGCAGCTTGGCTGCAATCTATGATTCGCGCTTTGAGCATCCTATCCCCTTACAATCCCGACATACTGGAACCCTCATGGGAGAGACCTCTCAGACCATAGTTGTGAAAATTCTACGTATCGGTATGCATTCCTATAGAAGGCCAAAACCCTTCGAAGGGACCCAGAAGTGCTGGAAAACCTAAGCCCTACCTGTCATTATACATCCCTACACAAAGCCTAGAACCACTTTAACCGCAACCCCAAGTTTCTTAGAAACCTCCAGTCTGCGCAAGGCGGGATGCTCGCCAAGAGGCTTTACATCCGAGCCCGATAGAGCTGCAGATTTTAAGCGCTCGATCGAGTCTGTCAGCCTCAAGTTTTAAAACTGAGTCTTTCATGGCACTAGCCCTGCAAGCTTATGCAACCTATATAGTGGCAAGAACATGGGATGAGGGGTGGGAAGAGTAAGATGGCTTCTTGGAGTCTAGAAGACGGCCTAGCTGAGCTTTGCAGATGCACAAGTTGATTGCGGTTCCAAGGTTTCACCTTGCAGTTCGTCAGGTTTCTACATCTCCGGTTCATTTCAGTGCAGCAGTTGTGAAAGTTAGATACCCGGGACATCCCAAGACTTGTAAAGTGCTGGTCTAGCCAGGCATGTAGGTACATTTGGATCTTTTGAACTATCGAGCTGCAAACATGAACCGGTCGATGGCCCAGATAAAGATGGGAGTGTCTCAAAATCGCCCTTCTACATTTCTTAAGAGGGACAGCTCTGACCTCATTGTGATCTCCCCTGAACCCTCTATTTTGAGAAACCCCCATACGGGGAAGACAAATTAGGCTGCAGGCGCTGCTGTGTGAGGATGGCTAGATCCAGCCTCCTTCAACATGCCTTTCATGATGCCTCAGAAAGAGCTGTATAATCCCAATATACCCTATATACCCCATTGTAATAGTTTCCATTTTATTTTCCATTATCCCCATATAACCCTATATAACCCCATATAACCCTATAGGGTTTAGAGAAAGGTTCTTCGCATGGGGATGAAGATGGTAGAGGTATTGGGTTTAGGGTTTAGGGTTTAGGGTTACATCTGGTAGTAGATCAGCCTGACCCGAGTAGAGTTTCGCATGTCTACAGCAAAAGAGTTTGGCAGAGTGATGAACATTGCGTTGGGACTGTTCTGGTTGCTAGCGTTGGCAGCAGAAGCTACTGCAGAAGCTACTGCTGCTTCAGCTGCTAGTGGTGCTAATTAGACCCTAAACCCTAAACTAGGGTCTTCAAACCGGAGCGAGCAGCAGCCCCTGCTAAAGCATCGAGGCATGGGTTTGTGTCAGAAACATGATCCGGCTTATCAATTCGACAAACATGCTCCACAAAACCTTCACCCAAAATCAGGTGACGCAACTTTTGGCACGTACCCATGGAAAGTCCAAGGACAATAGGGTGGGTTCTCTGAGCCTTGGGATTAAAAGAGCTTCGTGCTTCTTGCAAAGCCGGCCCAGCCTGCGACAATGGGTGCAGCTGAGTGGTTGTGGTTGCCAGATAGAGATCTGGAGGTTTCTGCAAGTTGGGGGTATCGTGTCTTATCCAGGATTCTAGTAGTTTGTGGTTTATACTGGGGTCCCCCCCTTGATGGAAACTAACATCTCAAGGGCAGGGAGGGGGGTGATCAATTTTCCTATGGATCCATTTTTTTTAATTTAAACCCTAAACCCTAAACAACTGCATCTTGCCCAGCTTAGCCCCAGCGTGTCGTTTCATAATCCTTGAGCGGGTTCCGAAAGCGGATTACTTGGAGGGTCATGGAGACTTAGTAAGTAGGCTTATGAGGGTTATTAACCCACTTACTAAGTCTCCATGACCCTCCAAGTAGCCCAAGCGGGCAGCACCCAAGTTGTGTTAGATCCTTTCCTCTGAAGGGCCCCATACTCTGATGTATGATGCATGTTTGCACTGAGAGAAGGGGGAAACTTCCAGTAGAATCACTTGTGGTTGGAAGCAAAGAAGAATCTTGGAATCCTGGACTTCTTGTTTTGGAGATGGCTTTGCTTATTGTAAATTTTTGTCAAAAGCACAATCAGGACTTCAAGAGAAATTTTGGAATCCTGGAATTCTGATTTTGGAGGTGGCTTTGCTTTATACGAATTCCTTTCAGAAACCAGTTAGGAATTACAAAGATTTCCTTTTAACATGTTCTAAGAAAGCAAGGGGGAATCGTGGAATCCTGGAATTCTGAGTTTTGGAGGTGGCTTTGTTTTATATAAATCCCTTTTTACAATCTAATTTGGAATTTAAAAAGAGACCTCAGAATCCTGCAATGCTAGTTTTGGAGGTGGCTTTGTTTTATATAAATCCTTCTTTACAATCTAATTCGGAATCAATTAGAGATCTTGGAATCATGGAAGTCTAGTTTTGGAGGTGTCTGTGCTTTATATAACTTCCTTGTAAAGTCCAATTAGGAATCAACGAGAGATCTTGGGATACTGGAATTTTGATTTCGGAGGTGGCTTTGCTCTACATAAATTCCTCCTAAAGTCCAATTAGGACTTAAATTAAAGAGAACTCTTGGGATACTGGAGTTTCTGTTGGAGCTGGAGGGGAATTGCCGTTTCGTCTCAATTAGATTCCAGGACCCAGGATCCAAAATTAAAATCCAAAACATCCAAAAACTATGGGGTTGCCTCACATGTTTGCTTTTTGGATTGACACTGTGTTTTTGGATTTCTTTGGATTTTCCATTACCTCCACAACAGTAGGTTGTTTTTGGATTTCAAGGCTTCATCGAAATCCAAAAGAAACCCAACGCTTTTTGTTTTTAAATAGAAATGGCAAGAACACACCAGGCTTTTCGGTATTTTTTCAATAACAAAAACTTCGAGCAGAGATCGGCCCTCACGTACAATAAGTTTGTTGAGGCGACGTGGCCCGGTGCCCATGGCATAGACCTGAAGCCGACCAGCTTGCTGCAGTCCGTTACCAAACAAGGTAGGTCGGGGCAAGCTGCCTGTCACAAGTGTAGAAAGACACATGGAAATTCACAGGTCTTGCTGGTGATACCAACAGGCTTGTGGCAGAGCTAACTCTCCCTTCTTGCCAGCCACACTCAGGCACGTGGGCAAGTTATGCTTGCGTCTCTTTTGGGGGCTGCAAACCCCGGTACCTACCGGAGGCCAGGACCCGGCAACGATGTCCTCCCCGAAGTTATCCAGTTTCTGCAGGCGCACCCCAACAGGCCGTGGGTGCTCGCAGCGGACTTCAACCTTAATCCTCTGCAAGGAGTGCTGCCGGACACGCTAAGGCATCTAGGGGCAACCCTTGGCAACGTCGGCCACCACAATAGCAGTCGGCCTTCAGAGTGACAGAGGCAGCCGAGCTTCCGCCTCTGTCAGACCACACGGTCATGATAACCACCCTTAAAGGCTACCGTGCTGAAGCCCCAGCCCCGGCATGGGAACTTCGCAAAGCCGCGCCCCTAGCCTCTTAGGAAGAGACCCAAGAGTCCGAAGTCATGTCCTCAGTGGCTACCGCCTGGGACCAAGTTGCCATGCCCCAAGTTGCCTGGCACACTAAGGTCCAAAACTTCGGTTCCTGCGAAGAGTCCATGAAGCAAGGACATGCCAAGACCTAGGCAAAGACCCTGACGTAGGACTCCTTCGTAACCTGCGCCAAGGAGCTGCGCGCTGGAACGTGGGGCAGCAAGTCCGGGCACAGCAGTGGCAGCCCGCCATGACAGAGTGCAGCCGTCAGCTCCAAAACATGCTTAAACAGCAACCAGACAGGCGCATGACTGAATGGCGCACACGCATAGCCGACTATGGCCATGCTGTGAAATGGGTCAAGGCCTCCGCCCGCCCCCCTTGGCTCCTGAGACAAGCCAATGATAATGTCACGGTGGGTGGCAGTAAGGGTGCCCAAGCACTCAGAGAAGCGTGGGGCAGAACCGCGGCAGCGGTCCGCGAGCTTGCGCAGCAGGGATTAGAAGCAGCCCCCACAGTGCAAGTGGTAGGGGTCTCGTTGGAGGGAAGCGAAGGCACTTAAAGAGAAGGAAAGCAGAAGGAGTGAGCAGGGGCTCTCGCTTGCTCACAGGGTAGGCCTTCTCCGCTGCAGTTAAGCCGTAAGACAGGGCCTTGCTGCGACGGTTGTCGCCCCTGAGGTCACGTGGGGCTTCGGGCTTAACAGTAGAAAGCTGAATGCTGAAGACCGTAAGCACCTAGAAACGTGCTTTCATGTTGCGCTCCGGGGAGCCAAGTTAGGAGCAGGAAGAGCCGCGGCCAGACTTCGCAACGTCCTTAGCTACGGACATTGCAGCAGCGCAGTCATCATGACCTTAGGCAGAGTTCTTCGCGCAGTGTCCAGGTGGCGGCAGATTAGGGCAAGAAGGTGCCGCTGTGGCATGGAATGAACCCTTGCGGGGCTGTGTGCGGCCCCTTGCTCAGAACTGCGGCCGGTGGCAGGTGATAGCTTTAGGAATCAGGCGGCCCGGTGCTCAGTTCCTCTTTGGGGATGCGCCGGGAGAGCAACAGAAAAGCCTGCGCACCATACGGGCCGATTGGAGGCAGCAGCAGCTGTCACGGTGGCCACAGAGCAGCACCTTCGCATCATTCCGCAGTTAGTCCATGCTCTCCATGTTGGGGTTAGGAAACGTGACGGGTTTGCTGTAGGAGTTGCCGCGGGGGGTTTTAAGTCCCCTGCCGTTGGCTTTGAGTCGCGCCTGCTTGCCCAGGAGTGCCCCTTTTGTGAGCGACATTGCCTGCCCGGCTTGCAACATGTCCTGTGGGAATGCTCTAGATTTGAGGATCTTAGGTGTTGTCGGAGACCGGCCTCTGCGGTGGGACCAGCGCGGGTTTCATCACGAGGCACTGGCCCAGATGGAAGTAAAATTGGTTTGACCTGACCCTTAAGCAATTTGATTTGACCCCTGGGCTTTTGTGTCTAAAGCCACCCAAAAAAAGGTTCCGAAAAATGAGATCAAACAATCGAAGGGGTGTAAAATAAGATGGAGTAGCAATCATGATGGGCAGCGAATAGTGTTTCCTTTGCTGTTTCATGTCACGCGTCTAATTTGAAATCTTCATGACTTGCGCGTGAGCCGTGTGATGACTTGGCATGGATTTGAATTTCTTTGACCATGGGACTCTTCATGTGCCTGAACTCGCATTTGTTTAACCTTGAAGTCCAGGAAGTGTGAACTGCCGCCTTAATTGCCCCAACTTGCTTGATTGGTATGAGGTGCCGCTTGGGAAGTCCTGCAGTTTGTAGGGCTTGAATGCGCGAGGCTTTCGAAGGAGATGGTGTGCGAGATCCCTAAACATTTTTGGTGATCTTTGTCG